CCTATCCAGCTGAATTCCTGAGAGGAGACGAAATCCAGGTCTCCTACTCCTCCGCCATCTTGCCTGATTACTCCAATTCTTAAGGGTAGAGGTCATAAGATACTGATAATTTATATGGAAAGATTGAAAGGTATCTGAGATGACAAATATCACCTCCATTTCAGGGGTGAATCCCTGCACCTCCAGTATTATAGTGATAGGAGGGGACTTAAATGAAAAGAAGAATGTGAATAATACAAAGGGAGAAGTTTTATCAAATCAGTTTAAAAACATACATCTTTGAAAAGCGAGGATAAGTATGTATTCTAGCTCTTAGGATCAACTCATCCTAACACACCAGTGAATTCTGTTAAGGTTCAGCAAGCCTGGGCCCCAAAGGACCATAACTCCTAAAAAGGGTCTCATAGTACAACAAAACATAGAGTGCCTCTCTATGTATCTGTAACTCAAGGTAACTTTGTCTCATTGTATATCTACTTCCTGAGCCTCTATCTCTAGATAACTTGGCTTTGAGTCCTGGTTCTGCCATTTCCAAGCTTGTGACCACCAAAAATTTACTACTACTTTGAACTTTGATTTTCTCAGCTATAAAATAATGATAATTATTTTATCATCACCAGGGCTATTTTAAAGATGAAGAGAGTTAATATATGTCAAATTCTTAGCCAAGTGACAGTTATATAGCAAGTGCTCAGTCAGTTATCTCTGGATTTATGCATGCCTTTTGAGTTGCCTCCATCTTTTTAAATTAATGCATCCATATATGCTGCTATCCCTGTGCCTCTGTGTCTCTTTCACATGACCTATTTCACTCCCAGCTTGTACAATTTATACTTCTGTATATTTTTAATCTCTAACTCATCTCTATCTTTTGCTCTGTATTTCATTATATCTACCTCTCTTTTTATCATTTTTGTAGATATCTACTCAGCTTTCTTTTGATATCTTTATATCAATTTTATAAATCACTACATTGTTATCACCTGTTCCTAGGTTTATATCTAGCCATGTATATTTCTAAAGAGCCCCATCTATCTATAGATATTGTTGAAAACTAACACCTGACCTCCTGGTCATTTGCAAGACTTACCCACAGGATCCTCCTCCATGACTCTCCTCCCCCCTCTCTCTGAAAAAAAGCAGGAAGCAGGAAGTAACAAGGGTCACAGTGCTCTTTGGTCTTTGGATTGGATAATATCAATTCATTCTCCAGTGGTTTAAGATGCGTGAAACAAGCCCAATTTCATGCCATTCTTCCATTCATCTCTCTACCCATCCATGAACACTCTGATATTAATTCAGGAATCTAGAGATACAAAGATGAAAAAGATAGAAATATTCCCTTCAGAAAGTGTACATCCTATCAAGAGATGAGTGAGGGAGACTCTGGGATTCAATAATTCACATTCTGGTGAGGCCAGCTGGTCTATGTTTTCAGTTTTTCTTCTTCACTGATTTCCTGAATACCTTCTAGGCCAATATCAAGCCCAGGGCTATACAAGTTCAGAGCACCTTGGCCAAATTGTGTGATCAGAGAACTACTTTCTCTGTTGTAGTGAAAAGAGTCCTGATCTGGGACTAGAGCTACCTGGAGTCTTATCTCTCCAAGAAAGCCATTAGCTTTAAGCCCCAGAGAGGTTCATCTTTCTGGGCTTTGGAGTCCTCAGCTGTAGAATGACAGGGTGGGACTGGAAAATTTCTGGGGACCCTTGTTGCTTTGACCTTCTGAAAGTCTATGATCATACACAAGTTTGAAATGATATCTGGAGACCCCCTTTGGAATGAGTGTTGGGACCCAGAACTTGGACTCTGAAGTCAGGTGGACCTGGGCAGAGACTTCTCCATAGGAGGGACTGGTATGTGCACTGTAGGTCACAAAGCACTTTCATACCCATTATCTGATTTTATCTTCATGAGAACCTAGTGAGGCATTTTTACTCCCATCTTCATATTAGGAAACTAAAGCCCAGAGAGCTAATTGGGTAACTGAGTGCTAACTACTTTAGATCAGCTGTCTCATTTAAGTCACATGATAATCCTATGGCTTTTCCAATTCTTCTTCCTCTTCTTTATTTCTCTTCTTATTTCTTTTTCCTCCTCTTCACCGTCTTCTTCTTGTTTCCATTTTATAGATAAGCAATCTGAGGCTTATGGAGGTTAAGTAGCTTTCACCCATTAACAAGTACTAGAGTTCAGATTCAATCCCAAATCTGTCTAAAGTCTGTGTTCATAAGCTTGGTCAGAATCTTTAATGCCTAGAGAGGTTGGAAGGTTACATAAAAAAGTGAAATGATCCAGGTAGAAGGATTATTCTACTTTCCTTTAATCTCACCAAAGAAAAACAAGAGCATAAGTAAAATAATAAAAAGAAACTATACTTTGCATTGCATCGCAGATATATAATAGAATGATGGAGAATTGTAGAACATGGAAGTAGATGTAGAACATAAAAATATATGCCCTAAGAGGGGCACTATTAATTATTGGGTTTATGGAAATTAGGCTCACCTATGACATATCTTTTGATATTAGCGGAAAAGCTGGATGTCTAGAATCTTAAGTATAATTTCTCTATTTCTAAATATTTATAATTACTTACTAAATTATATAAACAAAAATTATGTAGGCAAAAAATAAAAAGATGTCTCATCCTGACTGTATCTGGCTCACAGGATGCCAGGTTAGTACTTTTGTCCTACACTATGCTGTCTTCAAGGACTACTCCATAGCATTAGCTGAGTACCTGCTGTAAAGCCACCAGGCTGCTCAGCTCAGGAGTAGGAGTAAATGCTGTGCCTTGTTGCTTATGGTCAGCATTTACTCTGAGTGGATGTTAGATTTTGAGTATCATTCTTGGCTGGATGCTTTTGCATAAAATAATTGCCTTAACCCACACAACAACTCTGGAAAGATTTAATTATCTTCATTTTTCAGTTGAGTATATTAATATTCAGGTTGATTTTAAAGATCACCCAGCCATAAGTAGCCAACCTGTGATGTTAGCTTCAGGTCTGACCATGTTCTCTTCATTCTGTAGTGTTGCATCTTTCAGGTGACTTTAATTGCTTCAAGTTAGGGAATTTTTCCTCTTTTATATTTATCTGATGAGAACCTGACACAAGGAGGAAGTCAGGGGCCTGGAATCATCTTTTGGGACAGATGATACCTTTGCTACCCCTCATTATCCCCACCACCAGGTCTCCTAAGGATGGAGAAGAAACCAATAGGGTGAAGAAGGAGGAAGAAAACAAGAATCTGCTCCTTCATGGTCCAGAAGCTTTGACATTGACGTGAGACACTCCTACATTCTGTAGGTGACTTCAAGCACAGACATACAGGGAGGGGACTGGCTGCTGGAATGCCAACCTGGGTGATGAACCATGCAGATGCCAACCAGCTGTCTCATTGTGTAAGCCAGACCCAGAACCCTTTATATAAAGACAGTCCTCTGTCCAGATGCTTCAGCCTGAATGTCTGCCTGCTGTGAGGAGGGTGAGTCTTGTGATTGGGTCCTGGGATTGGGGTAGGGATGTGTCTCAGGGGATGCCCAGATTCACAAGGGTGAGGCATAGTGAGGGAGGGGGGAATTGCAAGCAGAGGAAGAGTGGTACATAAACCTGAGGAGAAAAGTCTGGTAGACTTTTACAGGACATAAGAAGAATATCTGTGAAGTTTGTGTGAAGAACTGAGGGTCTGAAGTAAGTGTATTTGCCTTTGATAATGCTGGCTTCCTGCTCAGGTACCATTTTCCCACATCAGGACATCTCACCCTGGAAAAGATGCATGAGTAATTTACACTTTGTGAGCAGAGATGTGTGTAGGGGGGTTACTTTCCCTAAGGGCATGTGTTTTTAGATATTCTTTATTAATGGAGAATGGAAGGCTTTGCCTTTCATTAGAAGCATTTTCAGTATATCTGGAGCTTATTGAGAAGTGTTTTGTTGGATGAGTTAATTGTTAAATCAGCCACCCTGCTGTGCTGGTCACTGGGTTGCCTATATATGAGCAGGTGAATTTAGGGAGGGCAGAGGAATGGAGACTGCCCTCTGTTTCTCCCTGGATAAGTGTAGTGTTAGAAAGTATGCCTGAATCCCCCAAGTCATGTTTGTAATGCTCCTGTTGTATAGGGGTTTATGTGTGCCTGAATGCCAGTCTTGTGATTTAGGAATCTTGCGCTTTTTGGGTTACTCCATCTTAGGCAGTCATTCCCTGCCTTTAAGAGTGGCTGGGGTAAAATATTTCTGAAGCCAGCAGATTGTCCAACTTCAGGTGATTTACAACAACAACCTGCCTGGGCAAGTTGCCATGGTGGTTCTTTCCAAGGCTGGTGTGTTTTGTCTGTGTGTGTTTTGCCTATGTCCATGAGGGTCATTTAAACAAATTCACCTAAAAATATTGAATGTAGATATGTTGGGTTTGAGCTGCCCAATAACTGACTGGGTCCTTTACTTTCCAGTGGATGTTTTGCGAGCAAATGGTGCCTGAATGCTTGCTCCCATATGTTCATTTTTACATGATTGCACATGTGTGTGTTGCCACTGCATGTATGTGAGGATATCCAAGCTCCTGTGGGTGTGGAAACCCCACTTTGGGCTGTAGCCTTAGAAGCACCTCTACCTCCTATAGAGTGCGCTCCTGCCACTTAGGACAAGGAATCCCGTTGTCTTCAACACCCTCTTGTGTCGGACACTGGTACGCCCACCCTCCAGGGGAGACCCTGGATGCCTGCTCCCCTGGCTGTGCCTTTGAAGTTCCCTCAGATCAAGACTTCAGTTAGGTCCTTTGGTAGATCCAAGACAGGTCTCATGGGCAGTGGTGACTAATATTGGGTCCATCTAACTCAGTAAGTGTTCTAGGGTAAAGGTCGAGAGTTGGGGATGAAAGTACAGGGGAGAAGCAGGGTGTCTTCCCCTTGGTCCTAGACCCTTCTTCCCAACAACTCACTCTCCTGACACTGATTTTTCTACCGTAGGTCTCACTCACCTGCCTGCATCAGAACCATGTGTGACCAGCAGCAGATTCAGGGTTGCCTGCCGCTCCCCCAGTGCTGTGTGAAGGGTTCCTCCTTCTACCCCTCCCAGTTCCCCAGTGCCAAGAGCCAGGCGGTGGTCCAAGCCCCTTGTGAGATGCAAATTGTGGAGTGTCCCACATCATGCCCAGTTCAAGTTTCCCAGGTAAAATGCCAGGCTCCATGCCAGTCCCAGACTACGCAGGTGAAGTGCCAGGCTCCATGCCAGTCTAAGACCACCCAAGCAAAGTGCCAGGCTTCAAGCCAGTCTAAGACCACCCAGGTGAAGTGCCAGGCTCCATGCCAGTCTCAAATTTCCTGTGTTCAATGCCAGGCTCCATGCCAGCCTGAGGTGTCCTGTGTGCAATGTGAAGCTCCATGCCCTGTTCAGACCTGCTATGTAGAATGTACTCCAGTTTGTTATACAGAAACTTATGTGGAATGCCCAGTCCAGACCTTTGTACCCCGTCCAGCTCCTCAGCCTGTCCAGGCTTACGTGGCTTGTCCCCCAGTTTCCCAGACTCAGGGAAGATTCTCAACCCCGTGCCAGTATCAGGGCTCCCATGGCAGATACGTTCTGCAGCGTCAGTCCCCGGCTTCCTACAGCAACTGCGCCCCACGGTTCCAATCCGGGACTTACTACAGCAACTGCACCCCCCAGCGTCAGTCCCGGGCTTCATTTAGAACTTGCGCACCCCAGTGCCAGGCCCGAGGCTCTTATGGGAGCTTCCCCGCCCAGCGTCGCTCCCAGAGCACCAGCAGATGCCTCCCTCCTCGCCAGCTGCAACCTTCTTACCGCAGCTGTTCCCCTCCACGACGGTCTGAGCCCTACTACAGCAGCTGGCTGCCATCAGCATGTTCTTCGAGTTCCTATAACTACTGCACCCCACCACGCCGCTCTGAGCCCATCTATAGCAGTGGCTGTCCTCGGGGTCCCACTTCAGGCTGCTCTCGGAGATGTGGTCCCAAGTGCCGGATAGAGATTTCCTCCCCCTGCTGCCCTAGGCAGGTCCCCCCGCAAAAGTGTCCGGTTCGGATTCCCCCCATCAGACGCTGCTCTGAGAGTTGTGCCCCACGACCCTCCTGGGGTGCCTCCTGCCCGGAGCTGAGGCCACGTGTAGAGTCACGTCCACTCCCAAGTTTCTGTCCACCACGGCGTCTGGACCAAAGTCCAGAGAGATCACTCCAGCGATGCCCACTTCCTGCCCCACGTTCATGTCCACATCCTGCTCCACGGCCATATCCATGCCCAGAACCACGTGCAAGATCAGAGCCCCGCCCATGTCCTCTACCGTGGCAACGTTCCGAACCCTGTCTGTGTCCAGAACCATGTCCAGACCCGTGCGCAGCCCCACATCCTAGACCAGTGCAGCGTGAATTTCCCGAGTCACGTCCATGTCCACAACCCTGTGAGCTCCCAGAACCTTATTTACTTCCAGAGCCAATTCCCCTTCCAGCACCCTGCCCGAGCCCAGAGCCCTGTGTGGAGCCTCGGTGGTGTCCCAGCCCATGCTCGGGACCAAATCCAATCCCATGCCGGGCAGACCGAGGCTGTCATGAGTCCAGCCCATGCCGCCTAGACACTGAGGCCCCCAGCTGTGGCCCAGCTGGTTATAACCAGTGGCAAGGAAGTGGTGACAGCTTTGGACCTTGTGATGGGATTCCAGAGCCACAGGGTTTCAGTGATTGTGCAGACCAAGGAGGCACCTGTATTGGACTGAAACGAGGTTCTTCTGTTGGAACAAAGGGGGCTTATTTTTAAGGAAGCATGGTTGACACATCCCTACCTCTTGCCCTGAAAATGTCATGCCTCCTTTCCCAACAACCTCAATTTCCAACACATTCTATGTGCATCTCTCCAAAGACAGTCTCCCTGCTGCAGAGGTGATGTCCAAACTCCATCGCATGTCATCTCAGGATCCACACCTGGGTTTCAGGCACCTCTCCACCCTCACATCTGGCTCCTCCCCTGTACACATCCTCAGTTCTAGCCAAACCAGTCTGGCCACCAGGGCACATATGGGTGTGCTCCAGAACATACCTTAGGTGTCCCTGCCTCCAAGCCTCTGCTCACTTCCCACCCTCCTTGCATAGACCACTTCTCTGCTGTGTCCAGCCTCTGAAATCCAACCCATCTTTCAAGACTTTTTCCTTGGAGTCTTTTCTGTTTGTTCCTACCCACGGGAGCCTACACTGACTTCCTAGAACCCATTGCATTGTCCATACCAGCCATTTGGCAACTGCCTTGCAATGTCTCTTGAATTATCTCACTTTTAAGATGTGTCTGTTTTTCCTGACCAGTAAGGTTGTAAACTCCCATTTGAGTGGAGTGAGAATATCCCTAAAGTCCCATGTTTCTCCTGGGGAAAACAGCTGCTCAGCAAAGCTTGTGGGTTGGCAGCTTGAGCCATGATCTATCCTGATAGGCAACCCCAGGATCTGGGAGAGAAGGAGGCCATGTAACAATAAAGATGATACCCTCATAGTCTGAGTCCTGCAGAATGTCTGTTTTTTACCCTTCCTGACTCTCTGGGATGAGCTTCTTTATAATTTTTTTTTTTCTTGAGTATATTGTACCTGTGATTTGAACTTTCCTTAACCGGGTAAGCTTCCTTGTGGATTTTCTGTTTCCCCTCAGTGTTCCTGGCTTCTCCTGGTGGGAGAAGCTGGATGAAAAGGTAGGAGGAATGAGGGAACAAGAAGAATAACTCTTGCTCCTCAGTCTGGGGGTAAAGGACTCGTCTAGGTTGGGCAGGTCACCCAGCTGTGGGTGTCAGGAGGGAGAGGGGAGCTTGAGGGGAACTGGAAGTTCTCTGTGATATTCCACAGGATACACTCTTCTTTTGTTCAGAATAAACTATTTGCCCTTTTCTTTTTTTTTGACATTGTAAAAAAGGGAGCACCCAAGGTTGCCATCGCTCCTGAATCCCACTGGGCATGAGTGGTCTTGGCAGCATGAAGGTGGGGCTTGGAGGGGCTGGAGAGAGAGGGGTGCCTCTTCTCCCCACTCACTGCCTATGAGTTGGGTGCTGTAGAATGAGTGCTCTTGAGGAGAACATTTCCCCAAATGGAGACAGTGCCCCGAGGCCACCAGGGTCTGTAGAGGATAAAGGGGATCCTCTTAAGAGGATAGCAGGGAGTGGCTCTGGCCTGGCTTCACAGATTCAGTTCCACAGTTGGGCACCACAGATCTAAGACCTGGCTCTCAGGATGTCTTTCCCTTGCCCCAGGGATCTGGTCCTGCAGTGTCAGAGGTGGAGACCCAAGAGACACCTGGCAAAGGAAAACTGAGGTTCTTTATGTAAAGTCCATTCGTTCATTTATTTTTTTTACTGGCAAATATTCATTGCCTACCTACCAAGTAGGCACTAGTAAAAGGGACAGAAATAACTCTTCTTTGCTCTCAGAGAGCTTACAGCCGAGAGCACTGGTTCTCAGGGTAGTACCTGGACCAGCAGCATCAGCACCAACGTAGGACTTTGTGACAAATACAAATGCATCACCCCAGACCTACTGAAGCAGAGACTCTGGGGGTGAGGCCTGGAAAGCCGGGTTTTAACCAGCCATTCAGGTGTTTCTGATGCCCAAGAATGTTTGGTTGTTACTAGTTTAGTAAAATACCTTATACATGTAGAACATGAATATATGTATATGTATGTGTGTGATTTTCTGTATCTTCTCTAATTTTCAGAATAACCCATCACACAGGCATTATTATCTCACCATTTTGCAGAGCTGGAAACCTAAGCACACAGCCCAAAGCCACACAGCCAGACTCAATTCCAAGCCTACATTCTTTTCTACTACACATGGAAATCATCTCAGTCATAGTCCCTATCTCTTCCAGAGATATTTCCTGTATCAACCCAGTCATTTTTCCAACATACTTTTATTGGACAGGTTATTTTTACCAGTTTTACTTTTGCCTCTTCTTTTCAAATCCAGGCTGCTCTAGGACTCTATCTGCTCCGTGGCACAAGCCCCCAGGGGCCTGGCAGGGCCCAAATGACTCCTATGAGACACCCCTATTTTTCCATCACCGAGGCCCCTGAGTGGGGGTGGAGAGAGGCTTGAAATACCCAGAGGGGGATTCTCATTAGATCTCTCCCCATGTTCTCTCAAACATACCCTTAAACAAGGACCCTCTTGTCTGGAGGATGAGTGGGGAGCAGTCCTTCCCCTCAAGAAACAGAAGAAACACAGACCTGGGTGGGAGAGAAGGGCATTCACTCCCAGGAAGCCCCAGCCCCCTCAGGTTCAGGGTACAGATCACCACACAGGCTCTTTGTTGCAATAACCCATGACCTGCTCTGTTCTCTGGAGATCGACTCTGGCTCCCCAGGATAAATAGGCCTGGATATGGAAAGATATTGTATGATGGCAGAATAGAGTGTCTCTGGGTGAGTCAGGCTGGGCCTGGGGCTCCCTCATAGACCAGGGCTGTGCACCAGCCAGTCTCAGTGCCATCTCTGTAGGTAGCCAGAGAGGCTCAGAGCCCAGTGCTCCTCTCTCCTGGGGCACTAGTCTGAACTGGGTCCTCTCACCTCTTCTGACAGCATGCTCAAGTTTGAGCCTCTAGGTAGGCCACCTGTGAAAAGCTACAGGCCACATATGGCAGCTCTGAAGGAAGAAGTGCCCAGGAGTGTGGGTCTGCTGTATCTGTTTGTATGCTGTAAAGCGTGGGGCTTCTAAAATATATGCGGTGATGGGTTGCAACCCCAGGAGCATGGGTTAAGATCTCCTATGGCCCTTCAGCCTTGGCTTTTGACAGCTCTTCCAATCACCCCTTCCACTCCCCAGCCTCCACCCTTTCATGCTTGACCTGCTTTTTCCTTCTATATCAACCATTTGAACAAAACTTGAAGGGCCAGGGATTGGAATTCCAGAGTAAAAAAGACTATTTATAAAAGCCTGTTAAAGGTGCTCAAAGACCTGTGAGAGAATCTCCTCTTTGAATATCACACTAACAATCTGAAGCAGTGCACAGGTTGCATGGTGTTGTTTCCATTTCAGGTGAATAGACTGTTGCCCAGAAATGCCAGTGCATCAGGCAAATCACAAACAGTATGAAACAGAGGTCAAGCATGCTCCTAGGCTTGGCATTCAATCCTTGGACCTGTCTTCCAGAGATGAGGGGCTAGTTGGTCTGAATGAATGTAAGAGAGATTGGGTCTAAAGACCATGCCTCCCACCCTGGAATCCTTCTTATATCTGTGTGTAGTTTTCTATCCTTTCCCTCTTTCTAAGCCTTCCTCCCTGGGATTAGCATCTTCACTGTAGAATGAGGGAATTGCACTAGATGTTCTCAGAAGTTCCTTCCAGACCAAGTGGGTTAGCCACAGTTGCTCTTTGTCACAGGTACTAGGCTAGGGTGGAATGACCTGGGAACCCACTTAAAGACACAGAACCCCCAGATCCATCCCCAGACCTATTTAAAGTGAATATTCTCTAGAGAGAGAATCTGGGACCTCCATCTGAAAATTATTCTGATCAGCTGAGATAGAAACCATTGCTGTAGTGATACCCAGGGGTGTGAGGGAGCTTACTCAATATCTGCAAGGAGAATTGAAACTTGCACACATCTGGCCATAGCACGAGAAGGAGGTGGACATGGTGGCAAAAATGGGGCTGACCACTAACTGTTTTTTATGAAAAGTTTTATGTAATTACCCTATGTGAGAGTCAAATTTTCTACTCCTCAGTCTAGGAGCACTGCAGGACCAAAGAGTCTCTTCTTTCCTCTCTGTTAAATCCATAACCACTGCCACCCCCCAAACCCAGAATTAGGCTCTTGTGCATGGCTAAGGGAAAGGGGTTGTCTGATATATGTTACAGATTTTTACTGGGAGAAGATAGGCCTAGTTTTGGTATATACCTCCTTTATCCAGGCATTACCTAACCATTAAGAGGGAGGAATTCCACAATCCATAGTTTGTTCTACAGACTAGAATGGTCCTGGATGAATAAGCAAATAGAACTGTAATGCATAAGGGAATAGCTCAGCTCTTTATAACGGAATAGATATGTAGATAGTAGTAATCAGAAGACAGACAGTGTACACAACATATAGGAGAATAGCCAGGTGGTGAACAAGACTTGGTCCCTGGCCATATCATACTCCTGATTTCTGGCTGAGTTGGACGTCCAGAGGATCCGCATGCCTGTGTCTTGAAACTAGTTAGGAAGAGAGGGTGATGCATGATGATCCATGGGCTTCCCCATCACTGGGGACCATCAAACTCATTCCTCCAAAAGATGAAGCTTCCTGATCTGGAAGACTAAACTAGAAGTATCTAGAAGGCTAGGAATAACCCAAGCTATGCCAAACCCACCCATCATGTTCCTTACCACATCTTGTCATAGGAACCCTGAGCTAGGGTAACATCTTTCCTCTATTCTCGAATGTTATATCTGTCAGGAAGAAAACCATTTATCAACTTATATTAACACATCTGTTCACTTTACAAAAATTTATTGAGACCTAGCTATCTGCCAGGAATTGTGCTTGGTCCTAGAAATACAATGGTGAGTAAGGCAGTGTCTTGCCTACCTTGAATTTGAGAGACAATAGAGTTTATGAGAGCTTGAACATGGGAGGCACAGGGCACCATGGAAACCTGTAGGAGGGGCACTTAAGTGGCTCAAGTGCCTAGAAGAGGTGCCTACAGTCAGAGGTGTGAAAGATTGGTGGGAGTTATCTAATGAATGGAGAAGAGAGGAGAGAGTTCCAGGAAGAGACAATAACAGGTATGCCATTGTCAT